AATGTTTATCAGTTAAGTTTACCATCTTCTATGGGTAAGGTTTGTGGTACCCCAAAACAATTACAATAGTAAAATCAAAGGTGACTGATCACAGATCACCATAGCAAATAAAATAATGATATATTAAGTTTGGAATTTTGTGAGAATTACCATATGACAGACACATGAAGTGAGCAAATGCTGTTGGAAAAATGGTGCTGATACACATGGTTGATGCAGGATTGCCACAAACCTTTAATTTGTTGGAAAATTAAAAAAAAAGAAAAAAGCAGTATCTATGAAGAGCAATAAAGCAAAGTTCCATTAAACAAGGCATGCCTGTATTGCAAAATGTTAACAATCTGGGTTGTAGGTACATGGATGTTTGATGTACAGGTGTAGAAATTCTTCTGTTTTCTATGTTTCAAAATTTTCATAATATACTGGGAGGAAAATGGTGTTACTGGTAAAATGAAATACAACTCTTGGTAAATGAGACAATCTTTTTAAGTTTATTTTTGAGAGTGGGAGAGAGTGCAAATAGGGGAGAGACAGAGAAAGGGAGAGAGAGAGAAGCCCAAGCAGGCTCAGCACTGTCAGTGCAGATCCTGATGTGGGATTCGATCTCATGAACTGTGAGATCATGACCTGAGCTGAGATCAAGAGTCGGACACTTAAGCAACTGAGCCACCCAGGAACCCCAGTAAATGTGATTTTTAAAAAATAGGCTATAATGGCAACAAGAAAACATAAGGTACCTAGAAATAAATCTAACAAAAGTATAATTCTTACTTGACAAATCATCAAACTTTATTAAAGCATATTAAAGGAAACCTAAATAAGGGCTCCTGGGTTAAGTGTCTGACTCTTGATTTTGACTCAGGTCATGATCTCACGGTTTGTGAGATTGAGTCCCACATCAGGTTCTGCACTGACAGCACAGAACCTGCTTGGGATTCTCTGTCTCCCTTTCTTTCTCTGCCCATCTCCCACTCACTCATGCATGCTCTCTCTCAAAATAAATAACATATAAAAAAAGAATATTTAAATAAACGGATAGGTATACTATGTTCTTGTATAGTCGTTGTCTGTATGGTAAATATATCCATTATCTCCAGATCAATTCTGGATTGAGTGCAGTCTCAAAGTTTTTATCTACAAGTTGACTCTAAAATTTATATGGAAGAACAAAGCCCCAAGATTAGCTCCCATAATTTTTAAGAATAATAACAATGTTATTATTTATTGTCAAGCTCTACCAATTAAACAGTATGTATTGGCACAGAGGCTGCTAGTACGATGGAACAGAATAGAGGCAAGAAAGAACAGTCCTGCATTTATGGAAACTTAATATATGACAAAACTGACATTGCAACATCATCTAACAAATGACCTGAGATAATCAGTCATGTGTATAGAAAAAGATGTAATAGGATTTCCATTTTCCTTCATATGTGAAAATAAGTTCCAGGTATGTAAACAGATGTGTGAAAAGCAAACCTATAAATCTTTTGGAAGAAAATTATAAGCAAATATATTTGTGTGTCTGTGTGTCAGAGATGCAGTTCTTGCATATAAAAAAAGATATAAGGAAAGATTGATAAATTCAATTACATAAAATTAAATCTTTTGGTGACTCCATTAAAAATAAAAGTAAAAATATAAGACTGAGAGAACATTTACAATGAATTTAACTTACAACTAATTACTATCCAGAATATATCCTATAATTCAATAAGAAAAAAGACAGAAAAACTAATAGAAAAATGCGCCAGGGTATAAATAGGCAGCTCACAGTTGAGGTAATCCTAGTGGTTGATAAACCTATAAAACATTGCTTAAATTTTACCCATAATTATAGGAAATACCAGTTAAAACCATACTGTGATCAGGGTTGCCTGGCTGGCTTAGTCAGTGGAGCATGTGACTCTTAATCTCGAGGTTGTGGGTTTGAGCCCCATGTTGAGTGTAGAGATTACTTTAAAAAAGTCTAAAAACACCAAGTATTGGAGAGTATGTGTTCAACAATTATTTTTTGAGCATCTGCTATATGCCGATTACTGTACTAAGTCATTGAGATGCATTATAAATAAAATATAGTAGGATCCTTGCCTTCATGGAGCTTAGATTCTAGCGGAAGAAAGATAGAAAATGAGCAATAGACATAATAAGTAAATTACAAAGCATGTTAGGAGTGATAAATGTATTGAAAGTGTACTGGTGATAAAAAGTTGTAGCAGGGTAAGTGGGTGATGGGGTGTAAAGTACGTTGCAGTATTATGTAGGACTATCAGGGTAATGGGTTTCATACTCATGTAAATTTGAACCAAGATTTTTGAAGGCTGTTAGGGAATTATACAAAAAAATATTTGGGAGAAAGAGAAGCTTTATAGGCAGAATGCGTGGATTAGAGTAAGACCTTAAGGTAGAAGAATGCCTGATGTATTTGATGGATAATAGAGTCCTGTATGTCTGGATCAAAGTGTGCAAGGGACAGAGATACTGGGGAGGGGTGGTGGGTCCCTTCTAGGTCTTTATGTGGATTTTGATTTTTACTCTTGAGTGAATTGGGGAGCCATTCGAGGGTTTTAAGCAGGAGTGTTATGATCTAACTGACATTCATTCATTCATTCATTTATTTAAGTTTATTTGTTTTGAGAGAGAGTACAAATGTGCAAGCAGGGGAGGGGGAGGAAGAGAGAGGATCCTAAGCAGGCTCCATGATGTCAGCAGAGCCTGAGGCGGGGCTCCATCTCACGAACCATGAGATCATGACCTGGAAATGGAGTGGAAATGACCTGGAGTGGAAATCAAAAGTCAGATGCTGGGACACCTGGGTGGCTCAGTTGGTTCAGCATCCCACTTTGGTTCAGGTCATGATCCCAGGGTTCATGAGTTCAAGCCCTCTATCAGGTGAATTTGAGACCTTCTTTTGGTGAGCTCAAGCCTCACTTCCGGCTCTGAACTCACAGTGTGGATCCTACAAGGGGATTCCCTCTCTCTCTGCCCTTTATAGGATTCTCTTTCCTTCTCTCTCTGCCCCTTGCTCACTTGCACTCTCTCTCTGTCAAAAAAAAAAAAAAAAAAAAATCCAGATGCTTAACCGACTGAGCCACCCAGGTGCCCTGACCTAACTGGCCCTTAAAAGGGACACACTTAAGTTGAAAATAGACTATAGAGGGATAAGAGTAGAAGCAGGAATGGAGTACCAGTTAGAAGATGGTTGAGAGGCCAGGGAGAGACCATAGTAACTTAGTTGCAATAGCAGAAACCAAGAGGCTTTTTCCTAACTTTAACTCTTCAGGTGATAAAATTGAACTGGGACTCTTTAGACTTTTATCACACTTATTGTGGCTATCATATATTTTGTTGCAGAATGTATTTAGTATGTTTTGTTGTTTTAATGTATTTAGTATGTTTTGTTGCTGCCCCAGTCTTTTTTGAGGGTGTTCTATATTGTTATATAATACATGCTGTTTATTTTGTTTTAACATTTTAATTTATTTTTGAGAGACAGAGACAGAGTGTAAGAGGGGGAGAGGCAGAGAGATAAGGAGACACAGAATCCAAAGCAGGCTCCAGGATCTAAGCTGTCAGTACAGAGCCTGACGTGGGGCTCGAACCCACAAACCATGAGATCATGACCTGAGCTGAAGTCAGACGTTTAACTGACTGAGCCACCCAGGTGCCCCTATGGTGTTTACTTTAATATTTCCTCCCTCCCCACTCCAATATCTAAAACATGACTAAATCTCGGGTTTTTAAGAGATTCTAAGTGTATAAGTCTGTGTATGTATGTATGTCTGAAAAATGGTTGTATTCTGGATATATTTTAAAGCTATAACCATTAAGAATTCCTGATGGATGTGATGTGTATGTGAAAAACAGAGGAGTCCAGATATCTAGGGTTTGGATCTAAACAACCAGAAGAATACCATCATCTGAGATGGGAAAAGGCTGTGGTTGGAATCAGTTTTTGTGGAAAAAGTGAGCTCATTTTGGGACATGTTGGATTTGAGATGTTGAGTAGGCAACTGGTTAGAAGTGTCAGGAATTTGGGAGACAGATCTGGGAAGTGTTGGAGGGGGAGGGTCAATTGGTATTTTTGGGAATAAGTTTTGATACCTATGACTTAGAAGTTCCACATCTGAATACTTCAAGAAACTTTTTATTATGTGCATGAGGAAACAAGTACAGGCTATTTATAGGAGCATTGTTCTGATGCAGAAGAAAAACATGTAAAGAAAATTAACTTTCTGTTTCCTGGAGAATAGATAAATAAATATTATAAATAAGTGACAAAATAAATTTACGGAGTGAAGTAATGAATGAAAAACATCCACATGGGTGAATCTCCCAGTTATGATGTGAAGTCAGCAGATGAATACCTACAATATTTTAAATATATAATTTAAAAACATGTGAAACAATACTAATAATTATTTATGGATATATATGTAAGAAAATATAAAGACACATGGCAAAGATAAAACATTCAGAATAGTTAAGTGGGGACATGGGGCGGGGGGTGAAACCTGATAAATTTTGAAGGCAAGTCACAGGGACCCAACTGTTCTCATGCTAGTGGTAAGTATAGTCATCTCTTTGTTTTATTATTTTCTGTACTTCTTTGTCTGAAATGTTTCCTAATTAAAGAAAATTCCATGTTATTCCTTTCATATCCCTCTTAATGATAGGTGAATCCTTTACAATTCATCAACAGTTAATGGCTGGCCCAGTGAGTATCTGGAATAATCTCCACTGGTGAGATGGTTCCATCTAGTGGAGAAAATGCTATAAGTACTCTGAGACATTACTTTGGGGAGAAAGAATAAAGAGGTGATAGTTAACCTGACTGGTCTTTATTTCACTGAATAAAAGATAAGGGAAGAAATTATGACTTGGAAATATTTAGTTTTTGCCATTATTAAGATAATGCTGTAGGACCTTTAATAGAGACCTGTAGGACTTAGAGGTGTCCTTCTTTCTAACTTGTGTTTGTGCTTTGTTTTTCAGAAGGAGTTGAGCCTTCCAAGAAGAGGCAGCTTGTAAGTTGATGATTATTATGATCATGATTATGAACACTTGCTTAGGAATCCCTCCTGGGAACTGTTCTCGGTGTTATTTGGAGGAATCTCACTCGGGCGCGTGCGTGAGTGCATGTGTGGTGTGGTGTGTGTGTGTGTGTGTGTGTGTGTGTGTGTGTTTTCTCCTTGTGTACTTTTATCTGTCAGGGAAGCTGGTGGTCAGCTAACTCCTCTTGCTAGGTCAGAACCTCCCCTTTCCCCCCATCCCTTCTCATCCCAGATCCTCTTCTCTGTTTCAGTTTTTGCCTGGCATTTGGGAAAAAGCTGCTGCTTAAGTACCCATCACAGTTTTATACTTGTGTTTTGAGATTTACCAAGTTGTGTGTATATTTGTTTTTTTTAATAGACTCAAGCTTTTTGAGAATGTTCAAGTTGAAACTCTTAGCAATTACATCTGTTGCATAACATGGTACTAGGGAGAGGCCAACTTTTCTAGTAGTTTGGGGTAAGGGCAGCAGCTAAGTTTGGATTCAGGGTAGGAATAAGGTTTTCTTTCACCTGTTCTATTCTGGCTTTAGGGCCAGGGAAATTGGTGAGTAATCTTTGTCCTCGGACTTTAATTTCTTATATTTTCTTGACTTGATTTTTCTCTAAGAATTCTATTGGGGCAGTACTGCAAATTTGGCTAAACACAGTCATCTAGAATACTTGTTAAAATTCTTCCTCTAGCCCCAAATATTTATTTAAAATCTAGTTAGTTAACATACTGTGCAATATTGGTTTCAGGAGTAGAATTCAGTGATTCATCACTTATATACAGTACCTAGTGCTCATTATAACAAGTTCCTTCTTTAATAACCATCACCTATCTAGCCCATTCCCTGCCCACTTCCCTACATCAACTATCAGTTTATTCTTTATTTTTAAGAGTCTCTCATGGTTTGTTTCCTTCTCTCTTTTTATTCCCCCCTCCCATATGTTCATCTGTTTTGTTTCTTAAATTCCTCATATGAGTGAAATCATGTGGTATTTGTTTTTCTCTAACTTGTTTTTGCTTAGCATAATACACTCCAGCTCCATCCATGGTGTTGCAAATGACAAGATTTTATTCTTTTTGATGGCTAAGTAATATTCCATTGCGCGCACGCACACACACACACACACACACATCATATCTTTTTTTTAAAAAAAAAAAAACTTTATGTATTTTGAGAGAGAGAGAGCGCGCACACAATCAGGGGAGGGGCAGAGAGAGAGGGAGAGAGAATCTCGTGCTGAGTCCGAAATGGGGCTCTAGCTCACAAACTGTGAGATCATGACCCGATCTAAAACTAAGACTCAGATGCTTAACTGGCTGAGCCACCCAGGTTCCCCTATCTTCTTTTTTTTTTTTTTAAACGTTTATTTATTTATTTGGAGGGGAGGAGAGACAGAGAGAGAAAATCCCAAGCAAGCTTTGTGCTGTCAGTTCAGGGCCTGATGTGGGGTTCAAATTCATGAACCATGAGATCATGACCTGAGCCGAAATCAAGACTTGGATGCTAACCAACTGAGCCACCTAGGTGCCCCGTATACCACATCTTCTTTATCCATTTATCTGTCGATGGACATTTGGGCTCTCTCCATAGTTTGGCAATTGTTGATAATGCTGCTATAAACTTTGGGGTGCAAGTACCCCTTTGAATATGTATCCTTTGGGTACTAGTAGTGCAATTGCTGGATCATAGTGTGGTTCTGATTTTAACTTTTTGAGGAACCTCCATACTATTCTCCAGAGTGGCTACATCAGTTTGCTAGAATGCTTGTTAAAATTCTGAACAACTTCTGAACTTATTTGAATCAGAATCTCCATGTTGGGGCCCAAGAAAGCTGCATTTTTATGCCCCTGGATCCACACCCACCATGATTTTGCTAGGATTTGGGAAACTCTAGGAAATAGTGCTGTGATAAAATAGTGGCTTAGAAACTTTTCCATACAGAGCACATAAGGATGAGGAGACAACAGTATTCATATTTATTTATTAAGTATACTTTATGTGTATATCTTATGCATTTTTTGGTAAATGTATGAAACACAAGGTAATTCTGTTACTGTCATTTTAGGGTTTAGTTTTATAAAAATGCCCTAATAATTAGTTGTCCTGTGAGAGTTTTGTTTATAAAGCCCCTTTGGTTGCTTTATGAAAGCCCACTGTGATTTGATAAGAGACTCAACTTATGAGTCAGAAAACCCTTACAGCTCAGTCTTGGCTTTGTCACTTAATTAGCTTTGTAAATGTAGACAAATCACTTCATTTCCTAAACCTTAGTTGTCTTATCTATAAAACGAAGGTTATGACATCTGTTTTCCTCTTTTCTTATAACTATTGGAAGGGTCATTTAATATATGTGTTAGTGCTTCATTACTTACAATTTTCTTTTTTTAAAAAATGTTTGTTTATTTTAAGAAGGAGAGTGAGCGTGAGCATGAGCTGATGAGGGGCAGAGAGAGAGAGAGAGAAAATCTGAAGCACATGGCTAGTGTGGAGCCGATGTGGAGCTTGAGCTCATGAATTGTGAGACCATGACTCAAGCCAAAATCAAGAGCTTGACTGACTGTACCACTCAGGTGCCCCATTTCTTACAATTTTCTAAAGTGTATTAGTTTTAGAATTCTTTTTTCTTAAGTTTATTCATTTATTTTGAGAGAGAGAGACAGAGTGAGAGGGAGGATCAGAGAGAGGAGGAGACAGAGAATCCCAAGTGGGCTCTCCCACAGTCTCCCACAAATCGTGAGATTGTGACCCGAGCTGAAACCAAGAGTCAGACATGTAACCAACTGAGCCACCCAGACACCCCAGTTTTAGAATTCTTGTAAACCTATTGGGTTAAATTTGAATACACTTTGGGGCACCTGGGTGGCTCAGTTGGTTGAGTGTCTGACTTTTTGGCTTGGGTCATGATCTCATAGTTCACGAGTTTGAGTCCCACATTGGGCTCGCTGCTGTCTGCACAGAGCTCGGTTTGGAGCCTCTGTCCCCCTCTCTCTACCCTTACCCCCACTGTGCTCTCTCAAAAATAAATAAACATTAAAAATATATAAATTTAGATACACTTTTATTATTTAAGAGCCACATTTCTTTATTTAAATTTAGTTCTAGCTAAATGGAATTGCAATTCCAAGTTCTCAAGCACCCAGAGTCTTCTATAAAACTGGGGAATGGTGCTACCAGGACTATTAATGGAGTGATCTACCGAGTAGGTGTAACATAACTAAAAAGGAGTGGCTTTTCAACATCATGTTTGGCAAATACTTGTACTTTGTCACTCTTCCCCCCCCCTTTTTTAAAGATTTTATTTTTAAGTAATCTCTACACCTAATGTGGGATTCGAACTCACAACCCTGAGATCAAACGTCACATGCTCTACAAAAGTCACATGCTCTACAGACTGAGCCAGAAAGGTACCCTGGTACTTGGTCACTATTCTACTATTACTATTTCTGGCATTTTTTTCTTTTGGTTCCTCTTATTTTGAAGTTCTCTGAGATTTGCTCTTTGCTTAAGATTAGGTATAATGAATCAGGGCCTGAGGCAGGTAGCTTCTTCTAGGAGTGTATGCTTCCAATGAATGGAATTTGCTGAGAAGGAGGAGAAAGAGGAGAAGGAGAGAAATCCTAGGAAAATGCTTTTTATTTGAAATTGGAGGAATTTGGGGTCATTTTAGTTTTAAATTCAAGGAATATCTTGGTCATTTTAGTGGTATCCCAAGTTAAGCATATTATAATTGCCTTAAAATATTTAATTGATCACAACAGAAATACTTTTTAATAAAGTAACTCACATTTAAACAATTGATCAGTAAATGCACACTAATACCTACTATGTGTTGGGCACTGATCTAAGTTTTGAGGCCATAAAATTCAGTTAAATACATCCTTCTATTTTGAGGTTTTATTGTTAAGTAAGTCAGAGATACCTTAGTGCAAACAATTGTTTTTTATCTTTAATATTGGAAGAGTAGAAGTTTTATTCTGGAAGGAAGAATAGGCTCTGCCACTAATAAGTTATGTGTGATTTCCACAGAAACTATCATTTCTGGGCCTGAATTATCTCACTTATAAAATGAGGTAATTGGCTTATCTCATCTCTGTGCTTCGTTATCTCCCCAGATGATTGAAGCTCCATGGTACCTCTTTTGCACAGAGCTGGTTAAGTCTTTGTAGGAAGTATGCAGTAAGGAGCAGAGGATGGCTTAGCATTTGCAGTAGAGAAGCCAGAAAGGTAAAAATCATAAAACATAAGATGTTTGAGTAAGTTTAATGAAAACTTAAAAGTTTGTAGTAAGTATGGAGAAACTGATATTAATAAAACAAGTGACTTAGCCATGGCCCATTGTTTCTTGTCCTTGTAGCCTAGTCTGGAAGTTTAAAAAATTATTATAATTGTCTTGGGATGCCTAGCTGGCTCAGTTGGTAAAGCATGCAACTCTTGATCTTGGGGTTGTGAGTTTGAGCCCCACATTGGGTGTAGAGATTACTTTTTATTTATTTATTTTTATTTTTAATTTTTTTTATTTTTTAATATTTTTATTTATTTCTAGGAGAGAGAGAGAGCGTGAGCAGGGGAGGGTCAGAGAGAGAGTGTGATTCATATTCTGAAATAGGCTCCAGGCTCTGAGCTGGCAGTCAGCACAGAGCCCGACGCGGGGCTCGAACCCACGAACTGCGAGATCATGACGTAAGCGAAAGTCGGACGCTTAACCGACTGAGCCACCCAGGCGTCCTTAGAGATTACTTTTTAAAAAGTTATTGGGTGCCTGAGTGGCTCAGTTGGTCAAGTGTTCGACTCTTGATTTTGGTTCAGGTCATGATCTCGTGGATCATGAGATTGAACCCTGCATTGGGCTCTGTGCTGATAGTGCAGACCCTGCTTGGGATTCTCTTTTTCGCTCTTTCTGTGCATCGGCCTCTCCCTCTCTCCGTGTCTCTCAAAATAAATAAGTAAACATTAAAAAGTTATAATTGTCTTATGAAGGAGAAG